ATTTATATATATTACTTGCTATTAAATACACAGATATGCCTCATTTCTTACTTTTAACTCTTCTCCAAACCAATGTTGAGGTGTCTTGAAGTCTTTTTCTGATAGAGGATTGGCTGTAGACCTCTCCTTTAAAACACCCAGGCTCACCCTTCACCATCAGCAATGACTGAATCTCAGTCCTGGTTCTTTGTAGGTCAGCAGATTCATCTCCATTAAAATCAAAATTGCAATTTGAATGAATAGCAAATTAGTAAAATTACATTTCAGATCTGAAATATATGATGTATTATAATTTCCTCCACAAACAACAAAATCTCCTGTTATATTCTGCATAAAAACTGCTAATCCTGTAGTTTAGATCTGTACAAATGAATCACTGAAATGTGATTCTTGTCATCTTTTCATCAATTCTTCTCAATTATTCTTCTTAAAATGAACTCTGAACAGAATCCTATTGTTAAAACATAAATCACAAATGTAATCGTAGTGTTTGTCAGTAAAATCAGAGTAAACATTTTCCCCAAATGGTTAGCGCTGGCTCTTTGCTTTCATGGAAATTCAGCAGTTAATTGTTTTGATAGAGGCATGTGTTTGTGGTGTTGAGGAAGCGGCCAATCCCTCTTTTTATTGTGTTTCATTGCGTTTTCACGACACTGTCTGGTTTCCTGTGGGTTCTGTGTAAACGGCTGTAGTTCATTTTTCATCATCATTTGAAGACATGTTCCAAAACGTTGACTTTACAGGTCTCTGGGCTGCGCTAAAGACGTGTACTTTGAGTCTGTGTATTTAGATCACCAATGAAGGTTTTGTTTTTAAAGCTCATATATATGACTTCATTTTCTGATCTGTTCTAATGTTGTTTCCTCATCACAAACAGACCTGGGCTTGAGTTCTCTCAAGCCCAGAGAGTACAATACCTATGGTCAGCTTGGAGCTTGGACTACAGTGGAATACATTGGTTGTCTTAAATGGGTCTAGAGTTGAAAAGTGTATTATTTGAGCTGCTGAGATTTATTTTAAAAGTCTCTCTAGTCTATGTTCATTGACCCATTAAAAGAACTATCTAATCTATTTGTTTTGAACTGAAAAGAAAAAAAAAATATATTCAGCTTTAGAACTTATGTAGGGTGCACCAAGGACGATGGCATTCATAAATCACTACTGCTTTTAAAACATACCTGTTTCAAGATGAATGAAGGAATAAAAGTTCAAAGAGATTTAATTTCTGCTATACAACTGTAATATATTAAGAAAAGCAGGGAAACTAAAGCATTCAACCCACTGGCTGAGAGACAGGACTAACTGCACAGACACAGTAACAGTATAGCATAATGATGCATGTCACAGTGTGTTCTACGATTTTGTCTGCTTTTATGAAAGCTCTTTATTATTTTATTACGGCCATTTTAACTTAGAACTGGCTCTTTCTTTTCTGAACACAATGATCGTTTATCATTGGATAAATTAGCAACAATTGCTTTAGACAGTCCACAGTCTGACCTGTAAATTAGCACAGAAAGAAGTGAAGGATGTGCCTTTAATTTGAAGGACAACTTCTGATAAGGAAAATAACACGCCTTGACATTGAAGGGAAAATGCGAGTGAATATTTGGAGCTGAAAGGATAATTGAGCAGCGAGGTCAGTAAACAGGAGGGATTGTTTATCCATTTTGGTTTTATTGACTTTAGTTTGTTTGGGGAAGTTATTGAGGTATATTTATAGAAGAAGGGCATTCTTGAATGTACCTTTAAGAATTCTTAAAGGTACATTCAATTTATTGAGGTATTTTCTTCCAATGAGGGCAGTGCAAAAGCCACTACAGGACAAGCTAATTCATAACCATTGTTGCTCATTTGTTGAGAGGCAAGCTGGGAAAGTGTAGCCCTTGAGACATTTATGTTTTGACTGGGCTTGTCGAAAATGTGTAATTAATCTAAGGAAAAGCAGAATATAATTCATAATGCAAATTAAAACACAGAAGACATATTTCTAGCTGCCAATTCAATCACTATAGGAATAGAATTTGTACATTATTGTGCCAGACTGGCCTCAGACAGTCTGTTCCTCACTTTCTGTTCAGAGTTGGACGAAAACATGCTAATTGTGCCGAGTAAGAATTATGAGCTGGTAATGTTATTTTAAAAGTTACTGATTTCAAATACCAGTAAGTTTAGTTGATTCATCAATTCACTTATGATGTTGTTATTTGTCTAAATACAAATTTGTTTTTTACATTGTATACTAAATAGAGAGCTTTGGTCAATGCTACACACTGCAATGTTTTATTTGATTAAGCAATGCACACACTATACCTTGTCAAGCAAGAATGTCTTTATATATTTCATATACAAGTACAAGTTGGAGTGAGGTCACTGAGATCTGCCCTCCACACTGTAAATCAGGATGAGGGGGCAAGCCAACTTTCTCATAGCTAGGATACAGTTTTGAAGAAGTCGGACAGCAGAAATTCTTAATCAGTCTAAATCTGTTTAAATCACATAACCAGACACGACACGGCATCATGTGACACTTCTGAGGAAGTCGACAGAGTGAAACCGAAACTGTCAAGGTAAGAAATACAACAGGTCTGTACATAAGAATTTCTTAAGTCATCTATTCATGGGTTTCAGCTTCAGCTTTCTGTTGTATGTAACTTTTTCCTATTTAAAAAGTAGAATGTTTTAAATGATTGATCACTATGATAATGGTCTTAATCTTTCATAGTGTTGAAACCCTAGTAATATTGAGTAAAGCTGTCATCGTGCATTACTGTAGTGCATTTCTTCATCTGAGGACTTGTAAGACATAAATGCAATAAAACAATAAGGGTCAGTATCAACTGGGCAAAGTGAGATGTTTCAGATCAAATGTCACAAAAAATATCTCATAACTAATAACAAGTCACTAATATGTTATACGAATGCTTTATATATGATGATGACAAAGGTTTGTTTGCTTTCAATAGTATTAATAATACCAGCTAGGTTTATAATGAGCTTGAAGGTCCTATATTATGCGAAATTGACTCTTGTGAAGTTTAACCCATCTTAGAATGTTGTTACCTCCTTAAACGCATACCTGGAGTTGTTTCATTGACACATGTTTGAGTAACCCTTTATTATTAGACTGTCTACACCCTCAAAGCTCAAAAACCTCTTTTCCACCTTGAGAAGTCATGTAGAGGTCATTTTCAAGTTAACAGCTATCTTTTACCTTTTGGCCAGCAGAGATTGGCTATTCAAAGACTGAAATTATCCATATAATTACCACATGACATGACAAGGTGGAACAGAGTGTTGTCCGTTCAATAGAATAACTCAGCCTAAAAATGTAGGGTTTGTGTTTTAAATATGAGTGAATGAAACAAAACACAACCCCAGGTACATTATATTTGTGATGAGGAAACAACAATATAACATAGATCAGAAAATAGCATATGGACATTTTAACAAGCTTACACATTTTGAGTAGGAGATTTTGTATTTATTTCTCTATATCACAGTGGTTGTAAGAGAACCTGAGACCATGAGGCTAACAGACTGAGACGTGACTGCCATTCTGCACCAGCTATCCTGATAAGTGGATACTCACACCCCACTCTTTCTTTTTGATAAATGCTTACTAAACCAGAGTACATACTTTATTCTACACAGTCACACTGACTTTGTCCTTGTTTGAGTCAAGCCAAGTCCATTGGGTCACACAGTGACACATATCAACATCTAATAGACCTGCTAATGTCCCCTGTCACTCGACCTCTGCACATTACATTAGATGACACCATTACTTTACTGCCTGACATGCACTCTATACTAGAAGTCAAGCCAAGTATAAACAGCTGCTTTTACTTTGGTGAGTGAGTACAGTTAATGACTATGCAGCACTTTAACATTGTCAGTGATGCATTAAAGCGCGTTGTGTAAAACTGCCTATTTTTGACAAACGGAGGCAGAACAGGCTGTGCTAGGGAACATGAGGAGAGCTGACCAGAGCTGAGTGAAGTGTCCAGGCCTGGCCATCTGGGGAGCTGGCACTGTGAGCCTACACGGATGTACAAATCAGACTGGCAAATGGGGGACAGGACAACCGCTGAGGACAACACATTTTCACATTTTCTCCTGTGCTGCTCACAGTGGAATAATAAGGAACAGAAAGCATATTTTACACAATAATTCCTAACCAAAAATGCAAAGCAGATGTCTAGAGATGAATGCAGAAAAAACAACAGTTCAAGTAAACTGAATGTCATAACAATATGTTCTATTGAATATTTTAAGATTTAAGACTTGATTTATTATTCATAGTTTAAATGCATTATAATATAACAAAAATATTATTGTCAGAAAAGAATCCATGACTGTAAAAAATACAGGCATCTGTTTGTGAGTTTTGATTTACCGACTTCTGAATAGAGTATTAAAATCTTGAAAAATAGGCAAGCAAGACAGAAAAGACACAAAAGAACTAGACTGTAATGGGAGCTTTTGTGCCTGCTCCATCTGTTCATTGTCTATGGTTCAAGGAAGGAAAAGGATAAACAAAGTGGTTCAAGTGATGGAAGTCAAAGGTTGCCTTTTGAGGTCCATTTCTATTTCTGCTATTGTAGGTCAAGTTGCAAAATACGATTTCTGATTTTGATAGAAAAGAACAGCATTTTAGTCATGGAAAATGTGAGAGCATCAATATTACACACAAGGTCATAATGTCCCAAATACACATTTCACTTCCTTTAATGTGCACTCTGTAACATTTCTGGTAGAGGGTATGGTTCCTGTTTGTCTCCATGGAGATGTTACTGCTTTGCCTGGAATGTTATTCTATATGTCATGCTTATCTAACTCTGTGGACTCCACCAAGCCAAGTAAGACAGATATGTGGAAAGGTGACCTCATTTACATTGAAAATACATGTTTTTTTCCAAGATATTTTTCCCAATCCTCACCATATCAGTTACACAGTGTCCCCTGTGCTTTAAGAACTACTGAAAAAACCACCATACCTTGGGTGTTGAAATTGCGCTGTAAACTGTTTTCTTGGCACATCCTGTCAGCATGTCCCCCAATAGTGCCGTAGTCGTCCTGCACCTTCCCATCACTCAACTTGTTGTGGATCTGGTTGGGCGTTGAGTTGAACGAAGACATTTGAACATTTGGATCATCTTCATCACAGTCGTAGTCATCCAGGATAGGTGTCTCTCGGATGGGCATACCGATGACCGAGCTGCCATGTTGGTGCGTGTTCCTGGAGCCGCGGTAGCTGTCCCTGCCCTGTGGCCCCAGCAGGACCGAGGGGATGTAGTGGATCTCATGTGTAGCTTCAGTGCTAGCACTCTTCTGAGGGACCCGGCGACGTTTGCACCAGCGATGACGGGTGTACAAAACCAGGGTGAAGAGGAGGATGAGGAGGAGAAGAGCGATGAGGCCTCCCTGTTGAGAAAACACGCAAACATGCTTTAGTATAGTGTTTCCCAACTAGCAATACTTGGAATCATTTTAAACTTCACAAAAAAGTACAATTTAATCATATTTATTCATTCATTCATTCATATAATACACTGGTAATCAGTCTTAGTTGCCTAGTACCATAGGGGATTCTCTGAGGTTGAGTATATAAAAAAGACAAATCTGGTGCAAATCTGGAAGTGGTTCTATCTGGTGAAATATGTAGCAAAACATTCCAAGTAAAAATGCATCTATCTTGCTATCAGAGTTATTGGATTTGGCAATTGTTTTTTTTTTTTTTAATAAACAAAAAATATGAGATGTTTTGTAGCATTTGAGAGGATACCTTTTCCATTCACAACACTGGAAACTAAAACCCTAGCAAAGACCTTGTATCTCAGTCTCTCAGTATCTAAAGTTACATCCCAGCTATTAAAATGCAAAACTTTGTGTCCTTTCTATTGTGGCCCAAAACCACACACTAAAATGTTCACAGCAGCCAGTCTAAAAAAGTAATTTCCCCTTGTATCAAATCATCTAGAAACAGGAGAGTTGCACACACCACCAGTTCATGTGGCCTGGCTGCTGCCCTCTGTTTCAGGCTTTTTCCCCTCCTCAAAACACTAGCTATGATCTTACAACAGCCCTGGCATTGCTTCACGGTTCATTCAATTTCTTGCCACCAGAGAAACATCCAAGTCCCCGCCATAACAAATCAGGTCAGACCTATGCCTGGACTGGGAAATAAAGGGAGAGCAGGGCCTTCTAGAAGAACAGTGGCACAATGGCCTTTATACAGAGGTAGATGTTTTTAAAGTGTCCAAAAATCTAATTCATTGATTAAAAAAACAACTTGAAATCTAATGTTTATACTACCTGACATTGGGCAATGCATGCCAACCAGCAGGGTCCCTATCATGCCCAGTAGATAACGTAAAGAGGACAAATTGTGCTTGTGTCTACTAAGTAGTTATAATCTATAATGTCTGTGGGTCATTATGTTATAATCTGCAGACTCTGCCGACTTCTGCGTTAGAAAACTGTGGTGCCAAATGGGAGCTTATATCATCACAACAAAGAGCCATGCAGCTGTCGGCACCTCTGATGGATAGCTACGCATCATGCTAGCAAGCAGCGGGTTTCAAAAATTTGCACCAAAATGATTATGTGACGCTGCCAAATCTTTTATGTCTCACTGATTAAGAAAATTTAATTGGAGAAAGAAGTAAGTAGAGAGCAGTGGGCGTATGCTGTGGCATTGAAAACGGGAGTTGGTGTCTTAAAAACAAGTGATTAAAGATTGCTGAAAAATGCACGAATCACTCCAAATACAAGTTTGAGTGGGTAAATGGATAGATATGTTTAATGCCATACTATGAAGATATGAGGCAGGAGGAGGCTCTCCTCCAGGCCAAAGAAAAGGCAGTATGGCAGTTTGGCCAATTTAACGAAATCCCTGTACTTGATCATCTTGATCACATTACTCAGAAACATATACTGAGCGATATGTTTTGTCTGTATAAAATGCAGAATCACCATTCATTTAAAAACAGTAGTCTTGAAATGTGCACATACCACACACTGCATCACACCAGAATAATCAATATAAACACCACGAGCACTCATTCATCACTACATTTAAAATTCCATCTATATGTGGGAAAACAAACCTGCTTCAAATTATAAGTCCTGGACTGCTGGCTGTCCATAAATCACAATACAGAGAGGGGAGCATGGGGAGGACTGGTAGCACCCACCAACTTGTTCATTAATCTTGAGCAGGGTGGCAGCTTTGCAGAAACACACTGCCACAAACTCCCTTTAGCCCACAATCGCACATTCACTCCCTGTGAAGAATAGCTGAAGTCTATGACAGCTTATGTTTCATTTTAGAGGCAGAGTGATAATGCACTGACATTCTGTGACTCTGCAGTTTTTCTGAGAAATGGCGATGTAAGTCTGGCATTCAATAACAGTGAATACTAAGAGAATAAAAATGTTGCACTGTTCAAATCTTTTCCCAAAAATTATTAGAACATGTACAATATAAATGACAAAAAATGTGACATGTACTCGCTTAAAAAAAAATATATATATATATATCCTTTTGATTTTTTGGGATTTTTTATTTATTTAATGGCAGCAATACATCTAAAAGGAGCAAACAACTCAAAATAAACATAAATGATATTTTGCAAGTTCATTTCAGTTGAGAGTTGGTGATTTGAATACTGCATTTCAAATGGTCAGGGTTTTTTTTTAATGATTGTGTCTTAAGAAATGTAATAAAAAATAGTAACAATAAATCATAATAATTATAATGCATTCAATTTATATTGAACTGAATCTTTATTGGACAATGGATACACAAAAATGCTTTATATTACAATATTTGATCAGGCTAGATGGTAATGGTATTCTACTATAAGGTATGTGGTATAGGTATAGGAGGAGCTGGTTGAAGAGAATGCGGGTTCTCAAATGGCTGTGTGATGTGATTGTGATGTGATTACAGACACAAGTGATCACTCCTGAATCAGTTGTGTTTGTATCGAAAACAGGAATTGACAAGAATTGGATATGGAATTGCATTTTAGAAGAATTAGAGTGGCTTGGGGATTGATTAAAGCCATATAGTTGCTGGTTAAGTTTTTATCTTTCTATAAACATGGCCATAATGTAATTTTGTCAGAGTATTACGTTATTCTGGACACTTTCATCCTTTCTGTTCCTGGCTCTTTCTATTACATGTCTTACTCAATTCTCCCTGATGTTTGATCACATCTATTCTGCCTTTTTGAGCACAACGCCAGTATAAATTCACAGTGGCAGATGTAGCCATGAGGGGAAATTGGTTTTCTGTTCATCTCCAAACCTACAAATCCCCTGCTTCGCTTTAGTCCTAAGTGAAAGCAGCTGGAAGTCCCATAATTCCCTTCTCCTCTAGTATGTCTTTACTGACTTCTGCCTGATTATTTTATCCTTTGCATCGTATTGGATTGCTACCAGTAAAAAGGATGCTTTTCACAACAAGATTTATATGAATAGATCTCTTTTAAACCACTTTTACCTCATTCACACTAAATTCTTCAAGTAAAACATGTTTTTTGTATATTACATTTATGCACAACCGTTTAATTTAAAGGTGCACTATGTAACTTTTGTGGAAGAGGTCACACTACTTGTCAATACAGAGGTACTGGACTGCCTAGAATGTTCCACAGTATGCCATTCTATTTCAGTCTTAATGGAGACAAGCAGATGACACGACCAGGCTAAGTTCCAGGTCAGACCCCACTCAAAGTAAGAATGAATCAAGTTAGTTTTCCAGCAATAAAAAGGTATGTCATTGATAAAGTATAATATAGATCAGTTTAATGCCATATCAGTGGAAAGGTTAGTACCCCTTTAGAGAGGAACAAACCACACAACTGGTCACAACACTCTAGAACTAAGGCCAAATATAGACAGATCTGTCAAACCTTCAACATTATACATTTATTGAACCACAAGGGAAATTACTTGGACACAGTAGCTCACACACCACCAATTGCAAGTAGCAAAAATAATACTGAAAAATTATAAATATTACCATAAACAAAGTGTTAGTTAGTTACTCTTAAAAGCTATTATTATTATTCTAAACATGTGCAAGCAGTATGGTTTATGGTATTAACTCAACTTTAATCATGAGCTGTTTCCTAGTCGCTCATTAACACCAGTGTCACTATGCAGATTGGTGCATACTCAGACTGTGGTAATGCTGAAGGTATGGCGCCTTATTCTAAATTTGCCCTAACTCATTATGATGTCTAACTTGGATTTGTGTGCTTTAGACCTGGGGCTAAAATACAGCTTTCAATGGATTTCTGTGATATTTCTATTTGCCCCAGTGCACAGACAGAGCTCTGAAGAAGCAGATGTCCCAACAGATGCTTTAAAGACATTTATAGTTAAATAAAAATGAAACAGCTGGTTAAAATATAAGTCTGGCTTAATAAGCACAGTTTATTAGACTTTTAATAGTAACTAAAGGATAGTAACTTCCAATAGTCTACTATTACAATTAACAGTCATGTTTTATTCTCCGATGTTCTGTTTGGCACAATTTATTCAAAGTCTAAAAGTTCTGGTCCACTGTACAGGTTGAGTCCATGCCCCTTAATATAACTCAATTTAATCAAGAGTTAGGGTATAAAACAGGTATAACTAATGGTATCACTAATGTATTGTCACAGTCATAGACTGTATAAAAACGTGGAGTAAGCAAGTGTGATGTCACCCACAGCATTCAGCACTACTCAAATGAAGCTTGCTTATCAATACCATTTTTTTGACAGACAAAATAGCAAAAAACAAACAATCAAACAAAATTTAGAGCGGGTTAATACAAACATTTTAAGACCAAAATGACATAAGTCAATGGAATCCAGGGTCAATAGGAACTGGAAGAGAACACAAGCAAACTTCCTATTTGGAACGCAGTGGCTAGAGTGTTAACTATGTTCATTTATATATACAGTCTATGGTCACAGCACAACCAAATCAAACTCTTTTTCAGCATTACTGAGGCTTATTCAAAGAGAGCCAGAGCAAATACATATTGTGAACACTATATTATAATGCTCTACAAATATGTGCAGACACATGGGCTCTCTGGTTGAGCTCCCATCTGTGCACAGTGAAGAGTGACTGTCACCAGTGACCACTCACCTTCTGCTTCCAGACCAGTGCTGGACAACAGATCATCTACACAAAGCACTATCTTACAAATGAAAAATACTATATTGAAAAATAAAACAAAAACAGAACTCCAGGTTTTGCAAAGAAAAGCCCCCCTTGAAGAGTATTTCTTATGAAACCTTTGACTGTTACCTGTGCAACTCTCTCAGTCCCTCTAGTGTGTTGTGGCCGTATGGATTTGTCATGTCCTTTCCCCCAGCAGGACATTCAAATGGCATGTGTCCTAGCATCTGCTCTCCCCT